TTTAAGTGTCTAAACCTTTTAGTCCACCCAGAGGTCGACTAATCAGGGATACTCCCAACAAAATTTCTAGTAAATTAAGTTACTTTTTGCTGGTTCTTTTTGTGTACCACACCACATCTGGGTATACAAAGTACCTTTCGTGACATGTATAATTTGACAACTTTTCAGGCATATCTTTAGCTACTGAACACTCACTTAATTGTGGTCTTATGCATTTTATACATACGGACCACAAAGTTAGAGGCTGATCTTGAGGCAGTGTTTGTCACTTTGAGGAAATGACATGTGACAGACCTCCGGGAGTATAAATAGTCCGGCGGATAGACCAGGTAGTAGTAATAGCGAATCATTGTTTTCAAGTCGTGTCGTTGGCCATTGCTTCTGATGTATCGTTGTCGTACTGTGTAATTGCAGCTGTTTTACCTGTCTTGTTTAAATTTTGGAGAACTTTCCGTCGCAAATTGTAATTATTCAATGTAAGTTATTTCTATTTCAAAATCGCTCTGTTGTGCTGTTTATGATTGGTTTTCTTCCTTTCATTTGGAAAATTAACTGCACTGCATTCTTTGTTGTTTGTTATTTCATTCAGGTGTTGGAGTGAGTTTCCTCGGCCATACGAGTGTTGTTCACTCACACAAGCCAACATATCTAGATGCAGCTTGTGTTTAGTGTGGATTGCACTGAAACTTATATGCTTTCGCAAGGCCACATTCATAATGGCTTGAAATTCAGTGCAATTGTTGCAACACAAAAGCTTTCACAAGCCAGTTACAGGGTTGTCAAAATAAGCCTGTGACTGGTGCATTTAACCGGCAGTTTTGAAAACTGCACTGCCTACTCCAAATGCTAGTAGGTTATTCCTAAGCCTGATATTGGAGAACTAAAACGGAAATAACATTGTTCAGTTATTAATTTTTTTGAACCCAAATTGGATTGGAGGGAATAACATTTGCTAAAAGAGTGCATGACACAAAACGAAACTGATTTAATTAGCCGTAAAATGTTTTACACAACAGCGTATCATTTTTTGAAATGAAAACTGCAGAATTACTCCAGTCTACACTTTCCCTTACTTTAATGAAAATAAGTATGCCCGTTTGTATTTTCTGAAGAGATGTAGCAATTTTCTAAATTTATAAACACACAAAAATGGCTCAGCATGATCAACCCCTGGCATGATACAATACAAACATCAGGGTAAACACAGAATGGCCGTTTTTACACTAGAGGACGCATTATCAGTCCAGAAGGATAATGCATCCTCGCCATTTTTATACTAAAGACGCATTATCCCTCTGGATGAACTTGGGCAAACATTTGTAGTTCGTCTGGTTATGCATCTTTAGTATAAAGGTCAGCACACATGAGGGGACTAGTCGCAGGGACTTTTACCACAAACAGTTCACACGAAGTGTTTTGAGGAACAAGTTGTTGGGGCTTGTCCCAAAAATTCAAACCAGTTTGAATTCGTGGGACTAGTCGCAGGGACCAAACTTTGGTCCCTGTGACTAGATTTTGAAGCAAATAAAAGTAGCTAGTTCACACGATGGGACTTGCCTCCGTGACTTGTTGCAGGGACTAGTCCCCTCGTGTGTGCTGACCTTAAAGACAGCCACAAGATGACAAGACACATTATACGTCTAGACGGTCTATCCTTAGAAATTCATCTTCAACGATGCACTACGAGAGATAATTCGTCTAGACACATATGTCTTGTGCCCGTCTTTATACCTGAGATGCATAACCAGATGAACTACAACTGTTTGCACAAGTTTGTTTAGACAGATAATGCATCTTTAGTATAAAAACGGCCGATATTTATTTTAGAAGCGAAGTCACGATGAGATGCTTGTCAGATAACGCGTGCAAGTCCAATATGTTTGCCTTAAAAAATGCCTAAAATTCCGAACTTAAGATTAAAATATGAAAGAAACTTGGATAAACTTTTTTCGAATTGAATTTTTTGTAAGATAAAGCCAAGAAAGCGCCAAGATGTTGAACATTTCAAAGCCACGGATTTCTGTGTGCCAAATTTATCAGCTAGACAAGACGTGGCTTCTGTTAATTAGTGAAATGTTAATTTCTTTTTTTGGGCTCTTGATGAGATTTTAATCTCACTGGTTTTTTAAGTTTTTAAAGACAATTTGAGAAAGACAATAGTACATTTTATGAAATAAGTCTAAAAAGAAACAGGATCAAAAAGGTTTTTTTAAATTGCCTCCTTACGCACAAAATGCAAATACAATACAGTAGAGTTATACAATGTGCAGAGTAACGGTGCAAGTGTGATTTACATTGTATCAAATAAAAAGAAATGAAAAATAGAAAACATCAAGAAAAAAAACAATAGTGAGGCAGGCGAAACTTAAATGAAATATTTCCGCATATTATTGAAATGTTCTAGAGTGAGTTTTTTAGAGTGATTAGCTTGAGTGAGTCAATCCTCCCTAACCTTTTTGCTGAATCATTTATATGAACACTGGATTTGAGGACATAACTTATTAAGAGTGGGAAAATCATCTACAAATGTACACAATGTTTGCTGAAAGTAGCGCCACATCGCATCTCAAGGAATTATTTTTGAAACATTTTCCCAATGGGAGGGGGCGACCCCATACTCTCCTCGAACGATACGCAGTGCACGTCTTGCCCAGCTGCTCTGCGGCATGTTTTTCATGCAAACCTGCGCCACCTACTTTTTAGATGGAACCCGCCCCTCAAAAAAAACTGACAACCCCGCAGGACTCAGTTGTTGATGTTGTTATGTACTTAAACAGGCTTGGTCATTACAGCAGCAAAACATCTTGACACTACATGTACAATTTTGGGACTAAGAACTAAATGAATAATTATTATTAAAGGGTAAAGTAAGTAAACAGTATTCTGCCGTACATTTCCCATTTAAAGATTGTAAAGACTTGTCTACCTTCTCACTTGTAGCAATTCAACCCCCAGATACTGATATTTAAAAACATTCCAACCGAATGGAATAAAACTAAGCATAAGACCACAAATACACATTGCGGACCTACTTTTTTATAACATTCCTAACCATGCCTGTGTAGTTTGTTGTGAAGCTCACTATATCAGGAATCTGGCCAAGGAGATACCTCTCTAACATGGAAAATAATTTATGTGAAGCATTTCCCTGCAGTTACGTTTAATGAAGTACCACCGAAACATTATTTTTGATGGTCCTTTACAATAACCATTCCCATTTTTTTAAAATTTTTACTGAGAGCACAATTGCTCACATGGTACTCAACTGTGCCTCTGATTTTGCACACATTCTACCCAAAGCTGAATCAATAGAATACCAACTAGCATAAGTAAAGACTTCCTTTATGTGCCTTTACTATCTGGGAATTCCTTCAGATGGCCTTAATCATTACTCTTCTTAATTTACAGTTACAGCAATGCCTGATGAAGATAAGGAAGTGTTGCGCTCATGTCATGTGGCACTTCTGGAAAACATTGGTGATGTGATCTCTGTGTGTGAGCATCTTTACCAACACAAGATCCTTGATGGTGATGATTTGGATGAGATTAGGAAGATCCCCAGGAAAAAAGATCGCAATGCT